CGCGATTCCTTGGTGAAAAAAAAGGCATCTGCAACGGTGCATCCGAGGCATCGAAGGCAGGTTCTTCGTTGATGGGACGGTCGTCCTATTACATAAATTACCCCTGGCCATCCGAGAATGTATTTTTCCCACGCCCAGTATCCAAGATGGCTGCCGTCCACAGGTTATAACGATCTTTTGGAAATACCCCACTGTACAGCAGATTTGACCTAAATAGAACCTGAAAGATCGCTGAAAAGATCTATATCCACGTTTATTCCCAAAGTTTGTAATTAATAGAAGCGACAACCATAGCATGATTTGCTAGTTATAAGTGTAATCTATCATGGTGTCTTGTTATTCATAGTTTTATGAGTAGGTCGTGGAATAAGGTGGGTAAAATGTGTCACGAGAAGTAAACTAGAAATTACTGTAGGTTGTCATACCGGTATATAATCCATTGCCTTTTTAGTAATATCGTGGACACTACGTATGTACTGCTGCGAGAAGAAACTGTAAATTGATGTATTAGATAAATCCAAACGGACTGCGCTATCTTTTCAGGAAAGTGGAATATAGGTGAAATTCAATGTATATTTTCGATCCTGGGCTTAATGAAAATGGCATACCGTATTGGAGAAGAACAACAGATGTTATTAACTCGTGGAAAAGTGGAGTGATTTCTGACCTAAAGTTTCTATCCTACGCTTTAGTGTAGTTTTCAAATCTGGGTTTCCACTGACTCACGTTCATCGTCCAAGGGTTAAGAGATCGTGTAATTTTTTCTTTTCGAACAAACATTGATTTTGAGACGGAACGATGGATTGTTCATTGGTATACCTATTACTCCAGAATGTACCTGTTAAAATGGATTCTCAATATTTGTAAAAACTACTCTAAACCTATATGATTCGTGTAGATTTTCGTAAAAATAAATTAAAGTGGCTTCCGCTAAAGTTTAATAATTATAAATTTAGTTGAAAATTTAACAGTGTATTCGTAAAAGCTTCAACTTTCTTCAAATTCAGCTCCATATGATACGAAAATAATATTAGAAACTAACGCAAGCATAGCCGCTGGGAACTGCTAGTATAATACATTAGCGCAGCGTATGTACTAATAGTTAAACCCATTATTCCCTACGGATAATAACACCGACATAAATCAACCTGTTCCATTAGTACCTCCAATCAACGATCACGTCATAAGACACAGCTGAATTCTTCGTAAAATCATAGTTGTTGTTGTTTCCTGGGACTTCGCGGGACGGGTGCGCAATTAATCACATCACCTGCTCTCGATACCGATACTTAAGATATTAACATCGCCTCGTTATGATGCGATTAATAGACCATTTAGCGTCCTTGTCTCAAAATCTGACTGCATTATTCAGATAAATAAGAACGAAAAAAAAGTGTCGGAGAGCAGAATCGTTTTTCCAACGATTTGTATCGAACCGTTTCCGATCGCAGACACGCAACACCTAGTTCATCAACATTCCTTCAACGAGAATGGTCCGATCCGACTGGGCACTCGATCGTCATTGGTCCACGAAACGGGCGTGAAACCGATCACCTCGGCCAGGTGAAACTCGTGAAAACGACTTTTCCGTTATAGGAAAATCGGGACGGACCTTTTACATGGACCAATATTCGGATCGTCGGTGGTCGTCTCAGGTAGAGGGTACGCCATTTTTACGGTGTCGTCGGGTGTGATTATAATCCCCCTCCCCAAGTTGTGACGTCTTGCCTAGAGTATTTTTCTCGGCTCGATGAATGCACTTTTTATTCTTCCATTTAATTGCACGTTTTTTTTCACGACATGTTATTGGGATTTTTCTTAGCCTTCCAGTTTTCGCTTCTTCCGTAACATACACGACATTCGCGGAAACGCGCGGCCTTTTTCTGCTCGGTATTACATATTTGCGTCGTTCGTCTCCGCCTAATCGGTTGGATCACTATTTTCCACCGCATTTGCATCTTCGACCTGATGTAGATATTCTTTTATTTTCTTCTTGTCCGTGGATGTTAGCTTGATGCCTGTACAGATCGTGTCCCGTCAGAATGATACCAATATTGTGACCGACGCAAATAGTGTATTTTATTGGAAAGATATTGTGTTCACAGGTACAGTGGATAATCAAATTATTATGAACACTTCGAAATTGATGTCACTCGTTTGAATTTTGATCAAGAACGGAATTGAAAATGCACTTATGATGGTACCTTCTTTATTACTGACGAAGCTTAGTAGAGTAAACAATTTTTTAATTCCAGTTTCTACAAACTACTTCAGAAAAAATTATATTTACTGTACAAACGTGTATTAATAACCGTTTCATTGTCGAAATTCTTATTAAAATTAACAATACATTTTTCAATATTTAAACCATTTAGACGGTTATAATGTGATATTACTGAAAAGTTTCGAGCCATTTAATTATCAAGGAACGAACTTCCATTTCTTTCATAGAAATATAATAACATAAATGAATGTACGAGGTTTTATATGTTTCGTGTAATAATAATCTATGTTTTATATGTAACATGAGCATTAGATGTATAAGGTGTACCAATAAATAATCCACTATAGTTTGTCAAATTCAATGCTCATTTTCGAGGAAATCAGAATCCGTTTCAGTGATATTTGTTCTTGCCCTTGAACGTTCGCTAAAGTTTTCACCTTAAACTGTATTACCAGTTTATTGAAAATAAATGGTGGATTACTTATTGGTACACGGCTCAATCAACATTAAAATATTCCAATGAAATTGGTCCGATTATTAATTGCACTTTCGTTAAAAAACAATCATAACGGTGTTATTATTTATTATCATCGAACACATTACCTGCAAGGCATACTTCGCTGTCGAAAGAGCAAATACTGTCGCACACGCTGTCCTCGTCTGAATCCGAGTCTCCGATCATTTTCTTTTCACTCTTCTTGCCTTTTTTCTTCGTTCTTTTGCCGGCGACCGTTCCATTCCTTTTGCTTTTGCTTGCATGATTGTCTTTTGATTTTGCTTTAACGCTGGCTGCCTCTGTTTCTTCCTGTTGTTTCGATTTATCTTCTTTCGTCGTTGTCTTCGCAGCTGTCTTTCTTCTTCTGCGTCTTTTTCGCGACCTTTTCGGGCTGTCTATGCACGATGGTCCTTTGTAAATTTCACAATGACACGTGTTATTGATAATACCGTATTGACACGAAAAAGGAATTGTCATTGTTTCGAGCATTATTATGCACGAAGGACGTGATGACAGATGTTGTTTAGAATATAAGAAACGAAAGGAATTAAATTCATCTGTGTGTATTTCATTTTTAAATAATTTGATATTGTATTTGGTGTACCGATAAGTAATTCATTACCTTTTGTCAAATTGAGTATTTATGTTTTTTGAAAGCTGGAAGTCTATGCTGTTTCAGAGCTATTTGTCCAGTCGACATTTACCGCCATTTTCAGAAAAGAGAAAAAGAAAATATTTTGAATTTAAAGTTTTATTAGTTTATTGAAATGAAATAGTGGAATAGTTATTGGTACCCTAATAACTTTTAATACGGACTCAAAATATTACACAAGATATAATTCATACACTGCAAACAGAGTACGATCTTGGATTTCCCGGTTCGTGGAATCCTATTTCGAAGGAAAGTGAGCAACGAAAGGAAAATAGAAGGTGAAATTGTAAACACGTACATCCTTCAATACCAGGAATATGAAATAAAAATGATATTTTGCTTATTGCAGAGTCATGTCTGCCCTCTTCTGTGGTTTTATCCACGTAGCATTGTGTTTCACGAAATATTAAGGAAACACTACAAAAGAAATGTATTTTTATGTACATATGATAAAGAGACATTCGTAATATCATAAATATTACTTATTCGCATCAAGTATTCCTAAATATTCATGGATATTTCAACATTCGTTAGAAGAAACAAATGTTCAATTTACCTTAATATCATATTTTGTAATAAATTCTATTTTGATTAAAACTTGAGATTTCTCGAATATGTTATTTTTAAAAATTTAATTCAATGAGGCCAACAAAAATCATGTTCCCCGAATTTTTACTTGCACAATCCAGAACTTCTACGAGCGTTTCCGCCGAGCTGGACCGCAAGCAGGCTGTGTGACGCGGATTAAGAAGTAACTCTCTGACCTCCATCGGCGGCTGAATCTTCTTCACCACGATCTCCGACATGGAAACACGTTTCAGCACGTACATCGACGGTTTCATCGATTTCCGTCTGGTCTTCTTCGGCTTCTTGCACTTCCGGTAATTGATTTTCAACGGGCCGTTGTCCTCTTCGTCCTCGTCGACACAATCGGCCACTTTTTTCTCCCTTTCTTCTTTCTTCTTCTTCTTCTTGTTTGTCTTGTCGGTCGCCTTCGACATCTTGGCCTGTTCCTTTTTCCATTGCTTGTACTTCCGGCATTCCGGTCGATGATTCATTCTTCTTACGTGCGAGGTACAGCGGTGTATTCCTCGAAATGTGATAGTTGTCCTATTGCATATTGATTTCAGAGACGGACTGCATGGCGGAGGAGTTTTGTGATGCTATTGTGCAGCATCTTGCTTTGATTTTTGATTGATTTTTCTACGTTAAATACATGTTGACGGTTCAAAGATGTTCCCTTACGGGGTTACGGTGACATTTTGTCACTCGAATGAATTTCGTCTGGATAACGGAAAAATGATCTTCATCCTTTTGTTTCTCGTACTGTCACGTGGAATTGGAGTCGTATTTCAGACTGTACTGTGTACCATTCTCAAAATTTCAAGTGATAACCTTCTAAAAGGAAATCTTCAATGTAAAATGAAGTGTACTTAGTACCTTCGGGTACGGAGGAATTGACCAAAATCGTCGAAATTTCAAGTGAAAAATTCAACGAACAAACCTCTCTGTGTAAAATGTTCATTTAAAGTGTGACTTGTTTGATGTTCAATATTCTATTCGGTACCGATAATCGTTCGAATATTCTACGAATGATTTGGACGAAATAGACAAGATCAAGGCCGAACATGGAAAGAACAAAGTCGGTGGTGGAGATTGATCGCGACAAGAAGGTTACGCATAAGGAACATATATTGCAATTGGTGGAATGCGATTCGATCGTTTCTGCTGATGTTGTGAACGCCATCGGTCGAGTGACCGAAGTTGTTCGAGCTGCTGACGAAAATGCCCCGAGCAGCGACGAGCTCGATGAGAACCTGGAGGAGCAGTACAAAGACCTGAACTTCTTCCTCGATCTGCCAGACGACACTTATTCTCTGACTGAGATCAGACCTGAGCTACCAACCTGCGTTAGGTATGGCGTTCGATCTGGATTGACTCACATAAATATGCCCAAGTTCTCCCCTTTATCCAGAGGTCATCAGGTAAACGGATATTTCATGTTTCAACGATCAATTAACCGGTCACTCGAAAATTACGCGGTTTGAAAAGAACAAACGGAACAACGTTACCTGCAACAACTGCCACAAACATATTGCACCCTTGCTACAAAAATGATACAACTCGAAAAACGTGTTTTTCTTTTAGTTATTCCTGTGAGAATGATGCAGAAACACTAATTGACCAATCATTGAAAGCGTTATCGTTTAGCTTTATAACTTGGGTGGCAGATTATCTGAAACTCAGTACTTACTGTAACATACACAACAAAAATTGATGAGATTTTTACATTACCTTACAGAACCTTTAATAATGAGAATAAATTCTTGTAGATTCCAATTTCTGTAAACTAGTCTACAGAAATATATTTTTATAAAAAAATGCACAGTCTATTAATAATGAACTATATAGTAATCGATAAGATGTAAAGATAAGAAAAAGAAAAGAATATTGAACATCAGTTCGATTTCTTGTAACAATTTCCGTTGAGTAATAATTATTGATGATATTTATATTTTTATTTATGAACAATGCCAATGATTACTGTATGTCGGTAATAAAACTAATTTTCATTTTACGAAAAATTGCTAGCAATAGTAGTATAACATGATAGTTACAACATTTAAATAATTGGTATCTATGAATAAGAATTTTTCGAGCTATAAAAACTTTCTGTTCGACTATTGCATGAACAATTATGGCAAACTGCCTCCAGCATTACTGCTGCATTTCTAATTAATATTGACCATTTCGAAATCTTGCGAATTCTCTGTCGACCACCACCATCGGTGATTCAGAAATCGAACACCACTCTATAATCACTAGACATATCGATCACGTCTGATTAGAAAGTCGAACTTAAGCAATCCAAAATGGCGTTTACCGAGATTCTTTTGGTTCCTATATGATCATCGAGGTTTCTCGATCGAGACTATAAACACTTTGATTCTAGACGTTATCTCCTTCCTTCGAACGTTTTTTTCAGGGCAAACGCGCCTTCTAATTTCTTTCGCTTCTTGTACCCGCTAATATATAATCAGAATCGACCCGTGGCTTCGATCGTTCTTACCGATCCTCTGAAATCACAGGGTGGAGCGACGGCGATAGCAGCGTTCGCCACGACAACAGTCTACAAGTCTCGTTGCTGGAACGAGGCAGTTATCGATCAGATCATCGAGGACGGGGATACGTTCTACTGTCAGTCCTACATGGAAATAAACACCGACGATCGACGACTGTTGACTATCCTCGATCTCCAGAGGACGCTATGTGTCCAGGACAAACTAACCGTAAACGTGAGCATCGAAGACGCGGCGTACGCCGGAAAATTCCGGTCCACGGAACCGACGGAATTGCACCTGGTCAAAGCTCTGGATCTGTTCTTCAAACGTTACAACGCCGGCATCCTGTGCTCAACCGTGTTGAATATAGCGATCTGGAAGGACACCAAGTACTACAATATCTTTGACGGCCAGGCCAGAAAGGAGAATAGCGAGCCCGCCGCAGACGGTGTTAGCGGGACCGCGAAGCTGTTCCTCGTGAAGGACTTAATAGGAGTGTTGTTCATTATTCTCGAAAAAAGTTACGTTCAGAATGAGCCGTTCGTCCTTTACGCGATAGCCATTAGCGGGGTGGACCATTATACACAACCAATTTCCGTGGACGATACGGAGAAGGTCTACACTCACGCGGTCGAAAGACGACCAAGTGGTTATAAGGTGCAGGATAAATATCGAGCCGTGGTCCAAGGATCTTACCACATGATGCACCCAGCAATCCCAGCGGTGTTACGCGGCCGTACCCACATGATCATCGCCTTAGCCGCTTTGGTCTACTCTAGATTGGTGAACGGTAACAAATGGACTAGCGCGTTGGTAGACCTGATCTTCAATCAGTCGAATATATACTTCATCGACCTGGTACGGGTCCTAGACAAGAATCTGAACGACGAGGACTTCGAACTGAAAATGGACGATGCCATGGGCGATGTGATACTAGGCGTTTATTCCGCCAAAGTGAAGATTCGAACGAACGTAGTTCCAGGCTACGGACAAAAAAGGGGCAAGGTAGCATTCGACACCGGGGTGCGAGAGTTCTTTCAGTCACAGGTGTGCGGGTTACTCGAGATCAAGGGTATTTATTACGCCATTTGGAGACACGACGACACGTACTACTTCATGGATCCTTACGCGTGCGACGACGAGGGGTTTAGATCCGGTACAGCTGAAATTGATGGAACGGATAAGCTTGGGGAGGCAGCCTGCGTAACGATGAACAGCTCTGTCAACCAGGTGCTGGAGACTATCATGGAGAACACTGGTAGCAGGGAGAGGGATCCTTTCATCATACACGGGGTCAGAGTCCTCTACGTGAAGACTGGGACCACACCTGGTGGTCCTTTGGAGAGAGTAATTTACCGAGAGAAAGGCACCAATCGCAGGCCCCTTGCCCAGCATCCGTTAGTTGCTCAGAAACCCAGTGAGAAAGTGGATGTGGAAGAGAGCGTGGATATGAGACCAATGATACGACCGGAGATGAATAAAACGAAGGACGCTGCGGTCCAGGTTCCTCCTTTGATGAAGGACGCGGATTTATATATGATGCCGGATGACGAGCCAAGGACTTACGTGGTTCTACCGCCAGAAGAGGAGAAGGAACCAGTGGTGGAATTTGGAGAAGAGGAGGAGGACGAGGATACGATGAGGCCGGACGAGGATGAATTCACGGAGGACGAAGAGGAGGAGCTGAAGACTGAGGACCTAGAGGAAGTGGAGAAACCGGTCGAAAAGGTCGTTAGAGGATACATAAAGATAAACCCGAATCGCTTGGTAGTTCAGGGCTCCAAGAACTGTTTGGACGATGGATTTGAGATTAGGTCAAGGGGAAAGCAGGGGTTGGTGGCGGCGATGACGGCGATGGCGTACAGGAAGCTGAAGGATCCTAAACGCTGGAGGAACATGGATATCGATCAATTGATAGATGTCAGCGATAAAACGTACGGTGACATTGTGGAATGGATCCGGAAAGGGAGTCCTGCTATAGTGGATAGAAAGGAGGAAGTGATGGGCGAAGAAGAGGAGGAAGAGGAAGAGGGAGCTGAAGAAGAGGAAGTAGACAAACTACTACCGATACCGAGCCATTTGAACCTCAATATGCTTCCGGTTAGGTTGAAACTGGGCGAGAACGACGTGTTTTTCAAAACGAAGGCGAATGTCATTCAAGGAGAGGCTGTTCCCCTCGCGAACCTTGCGGAGGCTCTCGAGTGTTACTTCAAGAGGTATAACGAACTGGTGTTGGAGAATAACAAGCTAATGTACGGTATTTGGAAAGACGGCAGCCAGTACTTTATGTTCAACCCGTATGGTAGCGACCCTGAGGGCTGGCGGCTTCGCGACTACCCCGCTTCGTTCGCCGTAGTTGGTAGCCTGAACGAGCTGATCGATCTACTGTACGGTGTGATCGAGTTTAACGATCCCGGTTTTACAATTCACTTCGTCGTGTTGGACTCGATTCAACCTGGCAAATACGCGGTCGAGTACGAAATAATTGTACCACATGATGACCTCGAGCTGTTCAAGACGAGATTCCTACCAATCACTGACGAGGATCTAGAGAAGCTAGAGGCTGAGCTGAACCCGGAGGTAGAAGAGGAAGAAGACGTGATCGAGGTCGTTATGGACGAGGAAGAGGAGGAAGAAGAGGAAGAGGAAGAAGAAGAAGGGAAACGAAAACCGAGGGCTGGGTTATTAGTCCACGTGGAGAAGCCTATAGTCGATCCTTTGCTCGAGATTCGAGAGAAGGATCAATCCGACGCGCCCTATAGATTAAATTTAGCTTTACTCACGGCTGGCCTGAAGATTCCCGAGGAAACCGAGGAAGACATGCAACGTATACACGAACAGAAAGCTTTGGAGCAATTGAAGTACGAGCATCCTCCTCCGTATGTTATGCCGTCGAATAAAACCCTGAAGAAGCTTCTCGACGCGAAACGGGCGAAGAGATCAATTCCCTCGTTGGTGTCCAGGTTCTCCATCGATTCTAGATTAGATGTTAAGAAGAAGGGTGGCATGTCAGCCATACATCTATCTAGATCAACCATCGTAGCGACGAGTTTCGGACCTGGGGCGGATAAATATGTACCCTCGAAGAAGATTAACTTGTGCCCGAAGAGGTATTTGTTCTCCAGGCTACTGCCGATTTGTCTGATGCCCATGAGGGCCATCGATGATCTCTACATTCAGTATGACGAGCGAAATAGAACTTTGGAGGAAAAGGTCAAAGATGCGAATTGGCAGGAGGATTTGATTCGCGAGGAGGTGCCGGAAGCACCTGTTGGAATTCGTATTCGTCCGGTTTTAATACCGCTCGGACCAACTATTAGAACACCGATGCCGGAGAAGAAAGTTGGTAGCTGTAATGAAAAGAAGAAACGAAAGTGCATGTTGGCTAAGGGTGACGTGGGGGATACGATTATTGAGAAGATTCTTTGCAATACCGAGGACTTGTTGTTAGAATTATTTTTTCCTGATTTCAAAGTGAATGACCAGGTAAGTATGGACAATATTAAATTATATGTCAGATGTTTCGAAACGGAGTTGTTATTTAGGAGTACTCTGTTGTTGTAATAGTTACAATCGGAGGATCAAAATGCAGATTCTAAGCATAAAGCTTCTCATAAGGAATCAACGGATTCGGTAGTGACCACGATTCGAATGAAAGTTCCGAAAAAGAAACAACAGAAGCAGTCTATTGGGCTGAAAGTAAGCTTAATGATTTACATTTCGCAGTTTTATAACTGCCAATAAATCTATAATAAGGGAGATTACTCAATTTATATATGCAAATTTTAAAAAGGGGTCTAGCTTGGGGCTTTCTGAGTCATCCCTAAGCTTGGGGCTGCCCTGATTTGGTCATGAATTCTTCTGGCGTCAGTCCCTAGGTCCGGGGGTCTTCCTGCTTGGTTACTTGGGTCTCTGTTCTCGAATGCGTTCGATCAGAGCTCCTTGGACCTAAATGGGATTAGAGTTTTTTGATATTGGATACATACTACTCGTATTTTTCAGTCATAGATGACTTTGATTTGAGTCTCTTAATCCTGCCTTGATCTTATTTGAGTATACCCCTGTATGTATCTAATTTGAGTCACACGAATCTGGATCGGATCTAGTTTGTTCAGCCTGGGTAGTCTTACCGTCAGTCTGTCAACTCTATATCGAATATTGGAGTTCAGTCTTCCACACCGTGAATTTTTTTAATTTGAATTTTAGGTTGTTTCTAAACGCGATTATACTTTCTTAGAACTTTTAACGAAGTTTTATAAAAACGACCGGCTTTCAATTTGGTGGTGTTCCTTGTAAATATCAACTTTGTTTTCTATCGTGTGTATATATTTAAAGGTTACCGACGATGGAATTCGAATACTCCAAGGTAATATGTGCCTCGAGAACCGCGCTGAGAACGAAGCCTGCCATTTCAAGTCATGCTTCTTTTCTGCCTTGCTGTGTATCCTGACGAAGATCAAGTTGGATCCAGACAAGTTCCGTACAAATACTCTAGATCAGTTCATCTACCTCGGGGACAAGATTTACCAAAAAACCGGGAAACTCCGTTTCAAACCGTACCGATGGTTTCACCACATCGAGATCCTTCACACGATTTACAACGTGATCACCAAACAAGCTATTTATGCTGATCCAGACTACTCCGAGGACGACGATCTCGTGTTCGTTATGGACGCATTCTTCGAGAAGAACCAGACGGGTATAATAGTATTCTCAAACTGCTCGTATGCATTCTGGACCGCGAACGACAGGTATTACCTATTCGATCCGTACGCGTGCGACGAAAACGGTAACGTCGCCGAGGACGGATACTCTTGCCTGATGGAGTTCTGCGATCTAAGTGCCATAATCGAGAAAATCGAAATGAATGTCGGGGACAACACCAGGAAACCGTATCGCCTGTACACCGTCTGCATAGCCCATATGGAAACAAAAAGAAGAAGGAAGAAACGTAAAAGGAAAGCGGTTCGTTGCGTGGAGAAAACAGAACAGGAAATCGGCGTTGAAGAACCGCCGGAAATTGAGTTATCCGCCGAATCCTCTGTGTCCTTGATCGAACAATCCGACTGGGTCAAAGTCGAGTCGGAAACTAGTTTCGCGTACGACATGACGATTCCTGGATTTGCCCCCATTAAACATTACAACGCTTCGATCCTGGAGGTGACTGTATTAGAGAACGAAATCACTACACCATTGTTAGCACCCTTCAAAAACTTCCCTAATAAAATAACAGACGATATGGACGAGTTCGAGATAAGTAAACGATTAGTCAGGAGAAAAACGTACGACAGAAAGTTCAAGGCTCACACAGTGGTGACGACCCCTCTGGATCTCTGTATCATGGCCTGGTCTTTGATTCACGATCCAATCACCTGGTCCGTGAGAACCACGAGGGGATTATTCGAGGCTGCTCTCGATTACGCTTTCGATACTTTACTAGCTGCCGAAGACTCAACCGTCAGCGACATGACTGATGGCATGTTACCTGAATTCGAGATAGCCAATTACGTTTTCCGTGTGGTATTCGTTCCGTTGCATTATGGTACCCTGTATGCAGTCGAGGGTTGGAATCTGTCGATGTCTCTGCAGAAGATATTCGACACACCCAGTTACACAGGCGCGATTTTGATCTGCGGCGTGGCGCATATTGGTGTTATGAAGAAAGAGGAGAATTACTTCGCCTGGTGGGTCGTTCCAGGCACTAAAAACTTGAGGATCGTCACTTCTGCAGACACCAAGGAGTTCCTCAGATTGATCGTTAAGCAGATCGATCAACCGGATGAGGAAACGTTTGTGATGAGAGTGATCACGGTGTCTTATGCTCAGAAAATGGATCCTGATTGCAGCGATATGAAGGGACTTCACGAACCGGTGATTCCAGTTACTTCGTTGCCAGAGATCCATAGGATGTCAGAGGAACCTTACGATCTGGAAGCGATTTTCAAGCCGTCCGTACCGGATTCGAGGCCGATATTCATTCGTGGAACGGTTGCTTTGAATAATAGGGACAGTATCATGGAACCGAGGGTCAAGAGGTGTTACTTCGTCGCCATCTTAGCGGTGATGGTGCAGAGGGATATAATTCAGAGTCCGATGCCGGGGATGGTGGACAAGATTCTGGAAGTCGCTGAATCGGTTTACAGAGAGTTTCAGGAACCTAAGTTTCATACCGAGCATATTTTACGGGACGTCACTGTGATGAATAGAATCTTCGATCTACGAGACTGTGCGTCCCCTTTGGTGACGCTCACAGTGAATCCGCGGACCCTGAGAAACGATTTCTATGTTCAGGTTAGTAGCTTATGGATTAGCGAAGGGTTTCAACCTCGAGTTAGTATTAGTGTAAGTATTTCTATTTTCCTCCTAACACCCACAGTCTAATAATTATGCAAAATTACATTTTCCAAAGTAATTCATAAAACGGAGAGGAATTGCAGGAATTCCTTTCACCGCTTAAGTATCTCATTGAGTTCAGAATAAAATGAAGAATTCGTTGTGTCTAATGTTAACAGAGGTTCTTATCGCAGGTAAGGAAGCACCTGAAAAAATTCTTCAAAACGTACGCGAACGGAATGATACATTTCACGAACTGCTGCTACGGGTTCTGGTACAGCCGAATCACGAACGCTTATTATTACCTGGACCCGTACCAATGCAACGAGAAAGGACGGAAGGTATCGAGCGGGGGCAAGGCTTGTCTGTGCATCTTTCCGACGGTCTGTCAGATGGTGAAGAACATGTGCTTCAATCAGTTCGAGGACACGACAGGCTTCTTCATTCATCGTGTCCACGTGGACTCGATCAACGTGCCTCCGTTCACGACGTTCAAGGAAGACCCGATGTGGCTCTACCTGAACTACCACTGGAACTTCCGTCACGCGCCTGAGATCGTCAAGTCGAACGGCAAGAAGAAAAAGAAGCCGGATGACGAGGATGTAAAGAAAGTGAAGCAGTTCTGGAACAACTACGCTGTCGAGGTGTCCAACCTGATCTATTCCGTGTGGGGAACGATCGGTTCCTACGATTCCAGGTTCGGCGATCGAGCCGGTAGGAATCAGGCAGCAATCTGCGTTGCGGTCTTGGCGATGCAGTACCTCAGTCATCCATCTCGCTGGGGCCCAGCGATCTTGGACTCAGCCGTAATCTGCGGAGACTCTTACTACACTGAGAGCCTGAGAAGCTCGGCCCAGAAATGCGCGAAACACTTTAATCACTTCAACCTGCAGACCTGCTTCAAGATCTTTCCCCATTTGTGGGTGATCGATTTCAGGGACAACATCTGCGGCGTCCTCTACGGCGCGAAAAACAGGATGACTCTGGCTGCCGCGTTGAACAAAGCGTTCGACGAGTCACCGAACGTTCTGATCGAGTGCAACAAGGTCACTCTGGCAGCGTTAGCTGCCAAGGATGGGTTCTACGTCGCTGATCCCTGTTGGGTTGGTCCACCGTTGTTCCAAAAGGACCACGGGGCGATCTATGTGCTACGTTGCAGGAACATGAATTGTTTGGTCTACGCGGTGGTCAAGATGCTGAACACGAACAAGAGGGTGGACTTCCGGCTGGTCCCGGTGTCGTTCGCGTTCGAGCAAGAGGATTTCAACTTCGTGGACGGGAAGGTCTACGAGACCAAGAAGAAGGTTCTACTGGATCCGGTGAGAACCAGCCCAGGACGAAGTTTCGAGCCTGGCCCGGTGATGCCAGGCGCGGAGGTTGCACCGGATGGGGAGTCCTACCTGGTTTACAGGAAGAACTTAGGTCTGGGTATCAATAAGGGCCATCAGCTGGAGAATCCCGAGTTACCGTCCGTCGAACCTGTATTAGGCCGGAACGCAATGACCAGCGCGCTAATTAGCACTACCTGGCATCTGAATTTGGGCCAGGAAGTGCCGCTGGAGAAGGCTGAGCCCCAGTTCGATCCCACGCTCATCGCTTACGATCCGGAGAAGTGTGAGAAACGTGTGGTGGATTCGTTTATGCCCCATAATCCTGTGCAGATGTCGATCACCGATCTATTGGCGGCTTGCGATGATTATCCAAGAGTGGTGGACTTCAGGAGCGAGGTGACCAATGTTGATACGCCCGTGGTATGCGCTGCTGCACCCAATTTCCTCACCCAAACTGCTCGTCAAGAGTTCAACACTTGGACGGAGGATATGGGACAGGAGGTCTACAAGACTTACCAGCATCGAATGCCGAAACCACTGAAATCGGAGATCAGCCAGTCGATTGCTGAAGAGGACGACGAGGATGAAGTACTGTATAATACGGAGGCGACCGAGGGCACGGAAGATGAGACTGCTACGGAAGCGGAAGCCACGACTGAAGACGATTGATTTTCTAGTGTGAGAAACTGACGAAACAAGGTAAGCCGATAATTCGGATTTTTTTTTAAATTTCCGCACGTTTGTAGGGGACGTTAATAAAAGTATCAGGAAATTTTTCTGTTGTGTTACTTTTTAATTCTTCCGAGTGAGAACACCCCTTGAAGGTTAAAGTGTGTTTTCCTATTTTCCTGTATATTTTGAAAACTATGACAGATGTAAACAACATATGAGACTGAAAGTGCAGAGAAACATTTTTTTCGTAAGAGTTGTTAGAGGTAAACGTAAGTCGAAAGATTTATTGTATTTATAGTAACGTTTACATTATATTGTGTTCTATATCTGTGTATAAGGTATATATATATATATATTTATAAAATTCGCAATGTAGTAATGAAATAGTATTATACACAATTGTGATCGTTTTGTCTTTTGCTAAGAAGTGTACATTCGATTGAATAAATTATTGTGACATCTTGTCACCTTGTACTCATCTGTAGATAATGATGATTTCTTAGTTTTTTTCTCATTCACTTATCGTATAAAAATGCTTGTCATTAAATGTACATTAACGGTCATATTCATATTAACTTGCTGCAAAACACGAAGCTGTTATTAACAGATTTCTTATGATCCATAGAAGACTCGCAATCCTGTTTCATTTTTATTCAATTTTATATATGCGTCATACTAAAAATTAAATCTTGTCCAACAGCAATTAATACCAAAGAATGATAAGCATTATTCTCAATTCTTAAACAACATGTTCCTAGCATGTTCATAATTCGCAAAATAAGAACGTACTCAAAATATTTACAAAATAGTGGGAAGTATTTTCAATTTTTATAACAGGTCTTCATCGCTACAACTAAAAACTGTTTATGACTTTCATTCATCACAATTATAGTAGCTTCCTAAATAAAAAGCGTAATAAGTGTATAAAATTTTTTATGTACCACGCTTATGTATGTTTCTTATGTTTCAACTAAAAATTGTGCTTTGTGTTATATTCACGTTGATTCTGTTTTGTTATAGACCCTGAGGAAGGGTTAATCAGAAATTCAGAAGAAAACGTGTAAAAACTTTATAACAAATCTCTGATTTTCTTCCTCGTTTTTTACAAATAATTCCGTGAATTGAACTTTGTTTACTTCACGGTCGTATAACAACGACCGACCAATTACGTCTAAACGTCCAGAATTTACGTCAACGATGTATTAATTAGCAAAAAACGAACTGATTAACACAGGACAAACTGCTACATCGTTTTCGTACATATGATGCAATTTGTATTCCATCGAAATCTTACAGTCGACTCGAGAAACGAAACTCGTGTGGTTTGTACGTCAATACACGCTACCTGTTAATACATAAAAAAATATTATTGACAGAATATACTTTAACTGACGTACGAAAGTGCTAAAATAATTATTGCTATTGTTACAGCTGTATCTAGTGGAATATTATGATACGACGAAATCGACTTTTGTATATAAACTTTTCAACTAATGTCTGATAACTAGTCTACGGGTGTTCTGCAAATTCATATTTTTATATACTGGAATCCAGAAACAAAGCATTAAGGATAAGCAAGGGAGGTAAGAATTCTGCCCTACCCAACTCCTTCCACAAGGGGGCCGGGAGTCTTGTAGAACATTTCCCCCAGGTAGTTTTTTTTTAGTAACAGTTTTCCTTTTCTACTTTGTGGGAACACAGTTCCGTTAGAATTTAGCCAATAGTTTTTCCCATCGTACAGCTAGAATCTTCAATCCTCAGTCGAAATTCAACCATTGAACAGTCAACTTCTCAAAATAGATCGCGTCGTTTCTGTTGTCTCCGTTATTACTTCGTTAGTTTTTGATAAACCGTTATTCGTTGAAACAAGTATTTTTCGCTATCAGTGCATTCACACAAAGTTAATTCGATGTGCGAGGTCGGGACACATCAAGAACAACAATACATAGTGCTAGACTTTGCGACGCAACAATTGGTGAGTTTTTATAAAATTATTTATACGATAAGAAAATAATAAATAGATTGCGAATATTTATGCAAATTTATTATCATTTATAATTTTATTGACTTTATACTATATAATTTAATAATTTTAATAATATATGGAATATAAAATTGAACACAATTTTATTTCCTGCACTAATGAGTTTAGTATGTTAATCACAATACGTGAATACTATTAAATTTTACTAGAATTCTTGTCTTCTACCTTTTGCAAGTCAAGGGATGCCATAAATGAATCCTCAGTCTAGTAATAATGATTGCTTTCAGTTACTAATTTACATATTTTGATAACATTTACGTACCATTATATTGTACGTTATAAATATACGAAGTTCTCGATACTTATAAATACAATTATTGCAAATGAAAAATATTATAAGAAGAATATATTATATATTGAGTGTTCCTTTATTTCTGAAAAAGGAATCGCAACTCTGTACGGTTGAATATGGTGGAGTGCTATTTTTTTCGTGAGATATATTCCGTGGCATATTCTAAACATTGTTCGCCATTTTGAAATTCAAACACATTCATCACGATCCATACTGATCAGATTCTCCAAGTGATTGATAGGAAAAAATATCACATCGTACTTAATGGTGCAATTTCATCGATCGTGGAAATGTTTAATCATATGATTCTTACATAACTTTGTAGTGGAAGGAAATGGCAACGCAATCTCCATTGGAATATTTGAATCGGCTCAGATAAATCTGTAAAAACGCGTAAAATTAGCAAGAACACTTCTTTACTTTCTCGTTTGAAGAATTACTCTTTCCATTTTTATATGCATGATAACAAAGAACATCTGCCCTCCTTAGCTAAAATGTCCTATCCAAAATATAATCATTTTAAAAAATTTTTCAAAATATTTGGAATTTTAAATTTTCTCACTTGTAATTAAAATTAGAGTACCCTGCGTGCTTTGTAGAGTTCTAGAAACAGTCTCGTTTATTTGTCTCAACTACATTTCAGATGATTTAACTATTTAATTTAATTATCCTATATAATAATTACTAAGTTAGTTAGTCTTAAGTTATCACTTGAAATGGAACGGAATATCAGCAAAAATGTTTAAGTTGTTTATGCCTTAGTTATTTATGTTTTAATTGTCTTGATAATATTTTCAATGTGACTCTTCATAATATTTTCTTTTTCTGGATAAGTACACTCAACGATTTACGTACATAATCCACAATGTCGATCGAAACATTTCGTATCAGAATAAGTCAGTCCACTCACGATAACACACTGTTAATACTGGAAGAAATTGCTAAAATTTCATCGAATTCTTCACAGTCGTGAGATAGTTTAAAGCATATCAAGCATAATCGAATTGGTCCCGCGTCGTCGGCGTCGTACGTGGGGAATGATTACACAACACACGTTGATCAAATTGTGAGTTTATTTGACAAGAAACGTACAAATTAGCGAGAAACTTCGGGAATGGACGGCAATTAATGTTAAAAATTAAAACTTTACAACGAAACGATACATATAATTAGCGAACAATTTGTTACGTAGTAATATTATTCTATCCGCGATGACACATGGTTAAGTATAAAATTATTACAAACTATAAAGGTAATAGTAAATTCGGGGTAAAAATTACGTTTGTAAAGACACCGTCGAAATATCTGTAAATCGTACAAGCAGTGTTATGATACGTTAGGTCTTAAATATCTAGAGGGATACAAAGTTAATGGCGACACAATACATAACTAAAATAATAATTCGTTCTAGTCACTGAACCTTACGGGATCGCAGTGTAAATGAAAAATTAATAGGATCTATATAACATGTATTCTTTAAGCGCTTGAAAATCCACAATATACAGAATACAGTGTGTACAACATTTCGAAGCAGCTGTAGATTGTTCTGATATGGATTCAGTGTCGATACGTTAATTCAATGATAAACTTCAATTGCCTTTTGTATATACGATACCAAAAGATAAAAACATTGTGCAATTAAGGTGAATCGAAAAGATCGGCGGAGTTCATACATCAACTGGTGGTTCTTTAACATTCACATTTATATCTTTCGTAATTCAACCTTCGTAAAATTCGATACATTTGCATTTTATTAGTTACAAGTGCAATAAGGTCCCTGAATCAGTGCACGAAACCGGAACCGACGACAAATTACGAAATCGGAAAATGTTCAATATTTATATTTAATATTCTCCTGGTATTTGTGTTATTTGATGCATTTCACGATAACATAAATGCACGGAAGGCATACGTATTTTATCAATACAAAATTGAATCGTAATATAAAAATGCATTTATGTGAGTGTGGAATGATTAAACTGCGACGAGAATATCGATGAGTAGATGATGAATATTTATGCATATTCATATTTGCACAGAGAAAATGGAAAAAGGGAATCTCAAGGAAATTGTTTTTCTTTCTTGAATGTTTTATTACGATATGAATAAAATAAAAATATTAGGATTCTCTATTAAAAGTTTCATTTTAGAAGATTTTGTAAGTTTATTTAAGTTATGATAAATTCATATAATTGGAAGTCTATTGATAGAAGTGTCAATTATTAAATAAATTAGTTTCGTCGCTAATACAGGACAAAATCAGTGCACTGATCCAGGTCTCGATATATATTTTGTACGTACTCACAGCAGTTTATAGGAAGCGAACATTTTTAAGCAACTGTCAACCGAACAGCACGTACGATACAAATGTTACACTCATTAGTTATTATATTTATATGCGCGATAACAATAGTAACAATAGAATTTAAGTACGTCAATCTGTTTTCTTTCGTGTACGACGACGATGAAATTTTAACATATTTTTTTTTAAACTTGATCCATTTATGGAGTCGAATAGAAACAAATTTACAAAATTAGTATCATTGGTGCACATTAATTCTTGTTGACTTTGCATAAGAATGTAATTAATTGAACAGTTCCAAGAATTATGAAAGAAACGATGATAACAATATCTCTGTATAATAAGTAGACTACGGATTTTGTGCATTTATAGTGTAAAGGATTGTCTAGAATTGAGTTTTCGTTTTATTTGGAACTCGATAGTATAGTAAATATCGTGAACAAATTTCTATTTGTTGCCGGTTCCTTGTTATTAACTTGTAAAAATCTATATTTGCATACAAAATCCTCAGTCTCATAATAAATTCGTATTGATAAAAGAAAATTAATTTGTAAAACGTTCTGGGTAATTAATATTTACTAATGAAAATTGTTTAAGTTATTTACTTTACTTCGTGTCTGCATCAAGTTCAGCATATTTTCCCTCTCTGTTTGATGTACACGAACGATCTGTACACGGAAGAAATAATTAGGCTTCTTCGTTGGTTATTTTCTGCTCGCTTAACTTCCACTGTTCACTGTTCTGAAACATCGTATGGTATTTGGCGCATATCGAAAGGCAAACAATTACGACTAATGGTTATGGTAACGCGGAATTTGTTTACCCGCATAAAGACGCGTGTACTTTGACAACCGGTTGCCCTTTCTGAAACCTCCAATCAATTTGACTCGTCACAGGCTTGTCATGGACACGTCATTTCCGAATAGCATATTTAAATTTTTCACAAATTAACGTTATCGTCTTAGTTAAAATTGATCAGTATAGTTTCAAAATTCTTTAGAGATTATCGTATTACAATGTTCGTATAACAAGATTATCTTAATTCTTCAATTGTCGAAAGTTCGGTCCCGACTTAACATTAATTACTTCGTTTGATTCGTATAGAACCGCTTCTGGTATTCATTGTCTTATACACGTGACTTCAAGAACATTTAAGTAACACTATCAAAGGAATTATATAGGATATTAAAATTAACCTAGATCGTTACGACCCTTTTCAGACAAATGCGATCGTATGGTAAAGTCTTGTAATTAAAATTATTTTTAATTACCCACCATCCATTCAAATATCATTCTATACATATCAACCGCCACGATTTCGTGGAGCACATTTCAAATTCACAATAAATCATCATACGTTCGCATTTCCGTAAATTTTCCACGATTTACTAGAAATAAATAAAATCTTTCATGGAGTAAAATCAACTGTCACGTAGAAAATGTGAAACGAAATATCGAAACAAATTCTTAAATCTATTCTTACGTAAGGACACATGAACTGAAAAGGATCGAATATTAAGTCACGCCCCGATAATGACCGAAGGATTGGATGTTTGATTGCAAGCGTTTTTACTCTTCTTTCGTGATCGTGACGCGAGTTTATTCGTTGGGCGTCTGTTCTTCCGTTGCTGGTTTCGTGTACAAGATTTCAGCGTATTCGGTTTTGTCCTCGTTCAAACGACGCGGCGCAACGCCCTGTTGTTGCAGCGTCAAGTCCAATTCCGCGTAAACGATACCGCCTTCGCCTGTCGAAGGATTAGGCTTGCCTTCCTGTGCATCCGACGCCGTGGTCTGAAGCTGTAAAATTGAAATTATCTTGTCAAGAAATCTACTTCTTTTTTGTTGTAGATGTATTTGCATAATTTGTTAAGCATTTAACAAAATTGAAAAGTACGAAATATTATTTATTGCTTCGAATAGAAGTTTACGATTGCAGATCGCCTTTTTTCTTTTATTATGTATCATAGTTCTGAAATCTACTCTTTTATTATACGTGTATTTACACAATCTGTTATTAATATTTGTTCATATAAACTGTAGAATATTATTTGAACCGTTCCGCAGACCAAAGTGACTAATACCACGTTTCAAATTTTTTCAAATTTTAGCGGCAAAGTACTTGTTTGTTAAATTTTGTGCAATTAATCATATTTGTAAGTGAATAGTTTTTTTTTTCATTTCAGAATGATTTTGTTCAACAAACATTTCTTGGTTTGTAGAGAAACTCGATATGAATTGTCAAACACGAAATACTAGAAAAGTAGTCGAAACTTTACGCTTGGAGTTTGGTAATGATTTCTTTACCACGCGTCGAAGTCACCAGCGAGACGTATAGTAGCTATATTGCGTTCTCGATTCTACTATTCTAAAATTACCACTTTTATCGGTGTGAACATTTTCTACAAATAATTTACAATTTATTTAATCGTGAATATTTAAATTTCATATGTTCACCTTAACATTTTCATTCTTATTAGGTGTAGCACTGAGTACTCCACTATTTCTTGTAATTACGAGCAATAAATTTTAAATTAAATGTATCTTCTCAATTTTTCACCGAGTAAAAATGGGGTAGAACGTTGAAAAACAATTATGACTGTAAGTGAAATAGTACAGACCCTCGATTTCCATAGAAATGAATACTGATTTCGTTACGAAATAGTGGATCTTAGTATATTTATTATAATATTATTTTCAATAAATATTTTGTTGTATGAAGATAATACCTTCTCGTCATCGACTGTTACAACAGTCCTCACGGTATCAGTGTCAGCGCCAGAAACTTTGTCCTTGTTCCGTTTAAAGAGTCTGGTCAAGCTGATTTTTGGTTTTCGTCCACCCCTTGATCCGTCCACTTCCGTTCTAGAGTACCTTCCAGCACTTTCCGTGTCGCTTCTAGTAAACAAAATTAACATGTTTAAAAAAAATAACTTTTCGCGGTTTTATTTAAAACGAATTTTCAAAGCAACTGCATACTTTTTTAAAGCGACGAAAATTGAGATAACATGAAGCAAACTCAAAACACTTGTAACACAGTTTCAAACATTTCTTATATTAGTCTTATATGAAACAATGATGATATTTTACGAAAAGGTCGAATAGGGTTCAAATGTATGTTGCTGCTGAAAGCGCAATGGCAATAGGTATATTGAGTTTAATGATCAAAGAAAAGTGCCCCGAAGATGGACAACAGAAACTAGAACAATTATTCGAATTATTCAGCTGCAAAGAAAAATACTGCTAATAAACGATTACACGATTCACTGAAGAGACTCGATAACAGCCTATTAGTTACTGACAAGGTGACGTTGAAGCAAATTAAAAAAATTATTCAGCGACGAATAATTCAGATTGATCGCGACATGTCTTTGCCATCCGTTGCGAAATGTATTACGGAAATATTAATGACTTATCCACAATAAGCGACTTAAATTTCTATGGTAATGCACACCGGAAAAAAAGATCTTTAATGAATAGATTCTTGAATAAATACGATCATAAAGACTGTGTAACTCATACGATAACTAGCTATTGTCTCGGGACAACAAAAAACAAACGTAATTAACTCGCTTAATATACTTCAAGGTCGACCTCTTTGTGTCAGATTACCGAATAAAAATATTTCTTAATAAAATATGTTCTTAATGAACAACGGAATGATTCACAGTGTCACATTAAGGTGAAAAATAGAAGGAACGATACAAAAATTTATTTGTAATTTCTAATGCTTGGAATAGTTTGTCTTCATTGCTATTATGATGATTATTATTATTTATATGTCTATAGTATTTTACTATTAGTTTAATTAACTGACAAAAATTCCGGAGGTTAAATCTTCATTACATTTCTTTTACAAAATATACTTAAATGGAAGTAATTTGAATGGAAGTAAATTACGGTACTACTGTTTCTTCTTTATTAGTTACATTAAATGTAATCATTTAATCGATTATTAAATTAAAAGACTTCTAATATACACATATTATTTCTTATTATATCTCGGTGGTCTCTGCAGTCTTTATTTCAATTTTTTTCTTTACTTAATGCATCTATTTGCAATAAATTCTTGGTAATTGTGCTACGCCCTGAAGAACTAATAAACCGGAATCACAGGTGGTTATCGATTACTATTGCGAATCGTGTCTGTGTGGTACACTATATTTTTTCGCAATGCGTTACGTAACAATTAAAAGATAAGCATCGTTTTGTCAGTGTTGTCGTAAGGAAAAATTCAAATTTGGAGGGAAAAAACTAGATTGCATGTGCGCCAATTAAATAGATCAGACCAATCAACAACGTGGCATCTGGCAAAAAGGCAGACGGAAATTATTGATAATAACCGACGATCCCAATCGCCGTGTAAAATATTAGACATGATTTTACTTTGTCTTAAATTATAACCACTTTTTGCACTCCAATTAATATCGATATCCATAGATTAGCATAACCGGAGTTCCAATTACTTGAAGCTCTGCGGTCAAGTATGATCACGTAGCAGATTCTTTATTGCTATAATTAAATCGTTGTTCACATTTTCAAAGAAATAACATTTACGACGTGTTAATCGCTAAATTAGTTTTGATTACAATTTAATTAGGCCGTAACTCCATTTTTTTAACTAAAACATCATATCATAATTTATCTATGAACATTCATTTGATCGAAATAAGAGAATTTTATGGAACAAAGTCAATTTCGTGAAGCTTTTCATGCTAAGAAATAATTTATTAACACTCTCGCAACTGGTTGTTTTATGAATGGTTTAATTTGATTTACGACGTGAAGATTTATGTTCTGTTAAGACTAAGTAGATTAGCTACAATCCATTATCATGAAATTGAAATTTAGTAGCAGCCTTACAAGACCAACGTCAATTGCATTGTTTGGTACGTTATTTTTTTCAATTTATTAGCTGACGTGGATCAGGAAATATGTTAATTTTATACCACAATTTGTGACGCGGTTGTCAATAATTATACGAAAAAAGCAGTTGCGTCAAGATTTCCATATTTTCATTCTTTCTTTCGCATATTTTAAGTATAGCAAGGCGCCCGATGGTCAGATTTCGTGGCGTGTTGATTACTGTAAGAGCGAAGCAACATTGATCAAGAATTACATTAACCCAGGCCAATGTGAAACGAAGCTTGTGCAAACCGTTCTCGAGCAATGTTAACGCCGCGTATCTCGGTATTTCCCATAAAATGACGATTCGAATGTTGAACACCGTTGAAAGCTTGATGACAGTTTCGAGAATGAAATAGAAAGAGGCTTGCCTTTGCTTATTGTTATCGTCTGGTGTTTTCGATTTCTCAAAACGAAGGAGACTAACGCTCAGTGCCGGATCCGCGACGTCTCTGTAAAATTTTCGTTCTGCTTGCAACATGGTAAATACCGATAGATAAACCCTTAACGGAAGTCTATGAAACAAATCGCCTTTTAACCGCTCTCCTGATGTACAAGCAACGGAAAATCGTACAGATCGCTGAATTCAAATGTGCTTAAGTTACAGATACATTTAAATCGAGGTCTGCACGATTTTCTACATGCTTCATTGGTGGGAATTACCTTAGATATATGTTTATCACATTTACACGAAAAGATAGGTATTACAAATATTTGTATATTGGTTGATCATCCGTTGGAGTTTTAGGTATTTCTATAGTTTGGTTAAGAATTTGAGTCTCTAGACAATAGGGTGATCCAGATTTGTCGAATATATTTGTGTGCTTTATACGAATATTGTGTTTCAGTAAAATCAATAATTTGGGTAATATTTCGTGTCTGTATTGCAAGATTGGTGTTACTATGAAACCGATTTTCATTTTAATAGAAATTAAACGTTACATCACAACGTGTGCAAAATAATGTGTCAGGCTAGCAGTCAAAGTGTTCTACTGTGAAGCACTGGCAGGACAAACGTGTATTAGTTACGGAATTCGAAAGAATATACTAAGACCCAACAGTGCATTGTGCTACCAGAAATCTACTAGAGAAACCTGAAGGAAAGAACTTTATACTCACGACTCGCCGAAAGTCCTTGATGATGAGTTACCTGAAAATTATTCAAAAGAAACAGTTTTTGTTTAATTATAATAATAATACAGGATTAATGATAATTTACATCTAATAAAAGCTATTATATCACATGTCACTTATTTACTATTCGAATTCTGGCTCTTTAAGAAACTTTAGTAATTATTTTTGTATTATAAGAATACCTAAGCTTTTGAATATTATTTGAGAAACTGTGGAAGTTTATTAACGAATCTTATAACACACATCAAAATAAAGAATTAACTTAAAATCGGAAACATATAAAAAACATACTTGTTGACTTCTTTTAGTGGTTCTAAAAATCAGATTGAAGGATCTACAATCACATAATTTTATGAGCAGAAATCAAAACCATACGTTTCGGAGAAACATAGCGGTGACAAGGATGGCATATTCTCGTGTACGTTCGTGTTGTATTTAAAACAAATGTTTTATTTCAAAAATCATATAATACCTAAGTATAATATCATAGCGATGAATGAACTTACAATTAATTACATACAGCTCTCTATATATTAACTTCATTTGAATTCTTAATTAGATTTACTCTTGCCTATTGCGTTGTATCTACAAGTACAGATACAAAATGTTCATGTTCTCCACGTATTCGTATCTTCTCTTCTTCATTTTAATTCTTCGTGTGCTCGCAATGTCGCCTGTATGTGTGTACATGTGTATTTATGTATGTTCCGTGTGTTACATATGTTTCTCGTATTCCGTTTTATCGACCGTATAACATTCAAACTCCACCTTCTTTCTTTCTTTTATTTCGTTTTCTTTGTTAAATTCTTAAAATCGTACTTTTAATATCTTTTTCTTTATACTCAAACGTCTCGTTTTAAAGTAGCGATCTCTGAAGTATTCTTAAAGTTCTTCCATCTCGGTGATGCTGTTTACAATTGGGCCCTCGTTACAGAAACGTAAAAACCATAGAAAAAACGTCGGTTACCGAGAAACGTATCATCGAAAAAACTTGACGTTCACAAACACAAGGATATCGCACGTTCTGCCTCCCGTTGTCTTAAACGCTCGTCTAATTAATAATAATCTTGATTGACTTCTAAAAATGTTTCAGAGAACACCATTTTCAGGTATTCGTAATCCGTTATCTTTATAGTCGTATTTTAATACCTAAACTTACGTTAACATTATATTCATATACATATAATATATTTATAATATTATATATATATTCATATATATTTATATATATATATATATATATTTACTCCATTGTATGGCCAACGATCATGCTTCTTACAATATTACAATATTAACCCTCCTTATTAATATTAGAAGTTTTACAAAAATTCTCAACTTCGAGCTGATTCCTCTAATCTCATTTACAAATCTAACGAAATATAGATGTGAACGTAAGTTCGCGATTCGATAATTTGACGCTCGAATGCAACATGCACCGATTCGTAAAGGAAGTCGAAACATTTTTCACGGATATTCCCATTTTCCTTTCCTGCGTACGCTTTTTGTATACGTACGCAGTTTTTTCACCTATCTTCGCGTTGCACACGTATGTTGCGATGTAATAACACGTACAAATGTGTCAGCATGATCATCGCGTGGTCTAAATTAATTATACAATATCGTTACCCATTAATGAATCATAAAAGTCGATTACGAAATAAGTGTCTTAATACCATTAAAAATGTACCGCAATTAATTTGTTTGTACATTAAAACTTAAATCCGTGGGGGTAATATCCTTAAAACCCCTCCGTAAATCGATCATCGTATCGACGCTTTTCATTGTTATATGTGTTTTGTGTGTAGGTATGGTCGCTACGCAGGCTGTGAATGGTTTTGAAAATGGCGTCCTACGAGAGCCTTTCGCGCAAATTTTCTCCCTCGTTTGTTCGATATTTCGAAGGACCATCAGATTATTTTCCAGTAACAGTTACCATTTCGTACGGGAATAAAATCGCGCGAGGACTCAAAAGAGGGGGGGATTCGGAGCGTAGAATAAATCGCTACGAGTCGAATGATTGCGAATGGATCGGTGCATATAATTTGGCAGTGACCTTTGACACACAGGCTTCCAGGATTTCCATCCAGCTGCTTGTGCTAAATCTATCGCGTCTATTTGTTCAGTACCTGTTACGTTTAAGACGACCAATAGAGAAGTTTCCGTTACAGTTTGATTTTTTCAACGCATTAGTCCCGATTACGCCCCGAAACTGTCCAATTGGAGAGGTCAAGTATTAGAGTAAAAATGGTATTTCAACAAGGTATTTCACTAAAAACAGAGTTCTCGAATTCTGTAGTCCACATCGAACGAATTTCCAGTTCGTGAATCCCCTTTAATCGCGGCTGAGCTTTCCCAATCCGTACGATTTCTCGAGAAGGCACTGAAAAATACGTTTTTGTCGTCTCTCTGTGGTCATCTTAACCGCAACACGGTTGTAAAACACGGGTTTCATTGTGGAACCTTTTCTCAGAATTCGTCAGTTTCCGGTTCACTGACGCAATAAGAACGTTTCAAAAAGTCGTGGGTTAGGTGTCTGAGCTACGGGAAAAAAAAGTTCAGTCGGCCATTCGGCCTGACTGTTACTCGTCGTCGAATCATCCCCTCGTGTTTTTCTTATTATACGTTGGCCAAATAACGTGTATCATTCTTTCGTTTGTTAGGCTCGATTGCGTGTAGGTACTAATACGCTGATCGTTAGTACAGGTAACATAAACCACGAAAGGCTATTAATTCGCTGGGAATTCGCGGCGTAAAACGACTCTCCGCTCCAGCCGAGGGAGGAAATGGCCGTCGATAAAAGGTTGTGCTATGTTTCGTCGGCAGTATCGTGTCTCTTCTTCCATAAAACTAGCGTAAAAAAGCAGACATTCTTAAGAGCTATTCGAAATACTGAGTCCGTGACGTATGAGACGTCGGTTGGAAAATAAAGTGCTCTACGAAAACGAATAAATTAGTGAAACGTTTTTGGACTGATTTTATATTTTGTACTGGTTATATGTAGACTGCGGAAATTTATGCATATTACAAACTTTGGATACTAGTAGTAATTATAATTTAAAAACTCTTTTTTTGAAAACTAAAAGCAAACAGAATTTTATTTCCCGTACCACAGACTTGGACATAAATTCTATTAAAATTTATTAAAATCATTATTTTAATATGCTTTGTAAATTAGGAGATGCAATAAATGTATAAACATCCGCAGTGTGGTCTTATGAATGGAAATATTATTATCTTTCTCTTTGAGAAGTTAGAGTGTTTTCCTGCATCTTGAAGGTCAGTGTAATAAAACTGGTAAATGATGTACGTCTATATTTTTCTGAATCGATATAAGTTGTAAATAGTAAAAAATATGCGTAAAATATGTCGTAACGAGTTTTTTAAACAGATACCGTTAATTTCGAATAGAACGGAAGATAAACCCTGGAACTGCAAAGTGGTCTGAGTAATCCAAGTGAGTCACTTAAATGAAGGAGTGTCTTAAAACAAGTTTGGTGAACTTTGTTTTGTTTACCTACGTTACGCGAATAAAATGAAAACGTTGGTTTTCATCTATCCTGTCCTTTGTTCTATTACTAGACATTACTGGAAACATGAAAAAATTAATCATTACTGTTGCTAATAAAAAAATAAGCCCGGTTATTGGAAGTTTACGGTCATGAAATGTAAGTGTGAATGTTCAGGGTTAGAAAATACTAACACACTGACTGCTGCAATTGCATCCTACATTGAAAATTTCAATCACATATTATATAAAACAAATTTAAAGAAGCTCAATAAGGTTGAACAATCCTGACAAATCCTGAATATACACTTTCCATTTCATTCAACAAAGTTTCTATTTCGACGAAGATTTTCATATTTGAAATGTCCTTTACGTGTAATAGTATAGTTCCAGAGTCGAAATGATTCGAATAAACAAAAAATTGATCGAAATAGACGTTGTATACGTCAGTAGAAATACGAAACCACGCTGGGGCCAGTAAACGCGTGCCATTTTCCTTCGAACCCGGCGGAACAGAGCCGCCATTAACGGGCACTTGTTCCACGGCGTACGGACACTACATACATCGGATACTTGTCATCCCCGTTAACGGTACAAACAACGCCTCGACATCGCGGACACGATACAAAGTACATAATTGGCAACATACATCCACATAAAATCGATTCTTAATATCTCCTTAAATATCCATCTAGTTCACGTCTCTACCGTGTCGCGGGGGAGAGGTCCACGGATTGATTCCGCGTGGCCTCACCCACCCCCGGGGTTCCTCGCCGAAATACCTTAAATCACCCTCTTAAGCGTTAAACCCTATTACTCTGCCCGATAATAGTCTTCCTCTCAAAAAATTCCACGGATAACGACAGGTCGCACGGCAATTGGAGTGCAAGTGGTTAAATAAGTATTCAGTAAATATTTACGAGTTGCAAGCCAAGTGCCCTCGACACAGAATATAATATATATATTCAATAATATTTTTCATTCCTTCGTTCATACTTTCTCTTCGATACGCGCTGTCTGTCTCTAATACAAATTGGTGGACGTGTACATGTCGACCGAATGATTCTATATACCTGTTTGATTTACGGGCTGACAGAGCACGAATCATTCGAACTGCGTGCACACGTCGCTGGAGAACACGTGGAGCTCGTCGGACAGGACGATCTCTCTTTGTAAGTGAAAACACGATCGCATATGGAAAAAGTGAAGGAGTGTATGTGCAGAATTCGGAAATGGTTTTCGTCAATGTGTATGACGGATACAGGGATCGATTCTTTATATTTTCGTCAATACCGTACATTCTCTTTGACCCCCGAAAAAACAAACAATTCTTGGATTCAATTGTCCTTCCGTACGACACGTCGTGGAGAGCTATACGTTCGGGAACTTCTCTTCTGGTGGTGTGTAAATGTTGTGTCTGTCTCTCTTTCGCTGTGTAAATATATCTGTGTAGATACATCTGTGTAGATATATCTGTGTGCACGTGCATTTCGCTTTTTTTTCTGTTTGTC